CCCTTCCCTTCCCTTCCCTTCCCTTCCCTTCCCTTCCCTTCCCCTTTCCGCACCTTCCCTTCCCCATGTACCTGTACATTGTAGCCCCATGTACCTTTTTCTGTTTATCCAGATATTCTAAGGCTGTTAGTCTTAGATAATATGATAAAGGTTATTATTAGCATGATAAATTAAAAACTTAGGATGATAAAGGTTGCAGATCCCAAAACTGTGAAACCATAACATGTGGTGGAAGTTGTGTGGAGTTGGTAAAATAATGTAATAAATAATTTTCAAGTCAGTGACCAAGCCCCATGTCTTCAGGTGTACCTTTTTCACTTCAAGCTGCTGTTAGTGGGACCGAGAGCAGGATGTTGTAAACTGCTGAATGTGTTGTGCTCTCCTCAGTAAGAACTGAAGGATGTCTATCACATGAAGATATGAAACCCTACAATTTATGGAGAAAACCCTGCTTCCATATGTTTCATTGCAAGTAGAAGGACAATGGTGCTGTCTCTCTGCACAAAAATTATTAGGCTGGTGCTTTAAAGATGAAGAGCACCATGCATTTAAATCATTCAAGAGTCTGGAGTAAGTCTAAAATTATTAAAATTCTACAGGCTTCTGGTGCACAGTGAGAATTTTAGTTATTCAGACCAACATGATCAGGAATACTCTACTCGTGACCTTTTTCTTTTCTGAAGGCTTACACTTCTCACTTCATAATATGTATGAACCAGAATCATAGACATGTTCTATGAGTCTGTTCAGCTTTACTAGTTCAGAAATGTAAATTCTTATCAAGATACAGTACATGCCAAAATTAAAGAAGACAATGGAGGAAAATTAAATGTCAGATTTAGCTATATATTATTTAACAACAGACACCGTTTTTTGCCATTAATTTTCTAAGTAATTTTTCTTAGCAACTCCTTGACATAAAGGGAAAAATTGTGTATTACTTTTCTGTGACATAAGCTGCTGCAAGCAGTAGGAAAAAATTTGTTTACCTTCCTCTCTATAAGCAGAGTTAATTCCTCTTAAGTATCTTGTGCTTCTCACTAGACTGCAGGCTAAAATATGTCTGATGAGAAAGCCGTTCTTGGGTATAAAAAACTATAATATTTTTAAATTATTTTAGTATTTTAAAATATTTAGTATTTAAAATAAATAAATCATACTACGTGCTTTATTCTTCACTTAGTAATATTTCTTATATTTATTTTTATCTTTTTTTTTCCCTTTTAATAGTTGCTTTATAATGCAGCATCTGAAGTAGTGGAACATGAACCTGTGGAAAACAGATATAGTCATGCATACTTTAATCACAATATAAATTCTATAACACGTTTGCATTTTTTCAGCTGTCCTAAATTGTAGCACTTCTTTTTTTCACAGAGAGTGTTGATTATGGGCCAGTGTTTGTACAAGAGCCAGATGATATGATTTTTCCAACTGATTCTGAGGAAAAGAAAGTGTCTCTGAATTGTCAAGCACGTGGAAATCCTACTCCCACATACAGGTATCTGCTTCAGAATTTTATATTTTTTAGCTTTCAGAATATTAGCCCCTGCTGTACAGCTCTGAGAATCAATGTATTTTGGTGAGAAACAACAGAAACAGCCCTCTGACACTAGTGGTTTTCCTATTGAATGCTTTTTGTGATTATGAATAAGAAAGAAGCAGATGTGGCAGTGATTAAAGATAAAGCTATATTTTAAGTTTCAAATTATGTACTCTCTGCATCATTTCTATCCGTTTGGAGAGACTTCTTTTGTCCAGTTTATTGAAGTTTGTCTGTGACAACTGAAAAAAAACCAAAATATTTAATTCTTTGGGGTTTATTTCTAAACATCTATCAAGCTACAAAATACTATCCCAACATATAGGGAAGGCAGCAAAGCATATGTACATTACATGAAGTGACTTTGGACTACAAGATACAATGGCTGAATCAAATCTGGTGGTTTTCACTCACAAGTCTACCATTTTATTCCTCTGCAACCATCACCTGTTGCTTATTTTTCCATACAGACTTATATGCCACAGTTATCCATTATTCAGGCCTGTGATCACACCTGTGACCTCAGAGTGCAGTTTATTGATGGTGCACCCTTACAGGTGGTAACAGTATGTTGCAGTCACCTTACCCATTTGCTAGATCTGTCTCTGCTCATATTTTATGCAAATTACTAGTGATGTAAGAGGGCTGGGGGCACATATGGTTGGTTATTTATTCCACAAACCCTTCAAATTTTCTCACAGTCATTCTTCAAATACAAAGGGAACACAAGGACTCTCACTGTGTTTTGTCATAGGTGGCAATCATTAATTCTGCATTTTGTCTTCTGCCTTTTACCCTTATTTGACTTGTGAATACCTCAGAATTCTGGTTGAATTTTCCTTAGAGTTGTTTGAATCACAACTCTTGCATTTCTATAAGTAGAAGAAATTCAGAAGCAGTACTATCCTTAGCCATCCCTACCACAACAACACTCAATCTGCCTCTTTGTAACATATGGACTCATTAAATGGATCTGATGCATGATACAACCCCCCCACTCAAACAGCACAGGCGTGAGTAAAACATGTAACATGGGATTAGGAATGAATATCCAGAAATACTCCAAACTACAATAGCAAGAATTCCTCACTCTGTGGTATGAAAACCATGTTGCATTTTTCTTTAAGGACATTCCTTGTGTAATTTCTGATACCTGCTGGTGATTTATTGATTAAAAAAAAAATAGTGTATTAGTTCCATATATTGCAAAAGTGCTGTTGGTCCACTAAACATAGCCTGTGACTATGGGGAAAAGGCACAAATTCACCCCCAAAGGAGAGTCCTATATTCAGGTCTCCCAGACAACCTCATTATTCCTGTAGAAATTTTGTCTGCAGAGAACTGATGTTGTCTCCTTTCTTTCTTCATTTAACCATTTTTTGCATTTTCCCAGTGGAATGCAGTCAACAAACACAGACTTTCAGCATATTTTAAAGGGTGACTACAAAGAGGATAGGTACTCTTTTTCTACAAGGAGCCACATAGAGGAGGCAAGAGGCAAGGTTTCATACTCCTCAATAATCAATGAAGGTTTTCAAGATGCAAATGAACAAAATGTTTGATTACCTCATCTAGGCTCCATTTTCCATATAACACTGGAGCAAATGATCTTTTAACATCCCTTTCAAACTGGGCTGTTTTATGGTTTTTTGATATCCATTTCTTCAGTTCTCCAGACATTAATTGGTGCCAGCAGTCTCATAAACAAACTTTCCTGACTGTTGCTCATGGAAGGAGAGATTTAACCTAAAACACCTAATTCAAACAGCACAGTTTAACTTCTTCTTCTATTGCTGCCACTTGTCTGCACAGCACTTGCAAGTCACGCTAACATTCAAGGGAGGGAAAAGAGGTAAAAATTACTCTCTGAGGAAGATACTATTCTCCAGGACAAATGTAGAGGGAATGTAGCCTCAAAAGATCTAAAGATATACAAATTTTTGAGTATGCTATTGCTCAACTACATTACCAAAGACCCTGGCCAGCTGCACTGGACCCTTATTTACATGTGCTCTGAGGCTTGAGCTGCTAAGAATTATTTTCAGCCAAAACCAAAGCACAGTATGCATTTATTTAAAGTTACATTAAAAAAAAACCAAAAACATTTAAAGGACTCAAAATGTCAATATTAAGTTATCTCTGCTTTTTTAAAATTAATTTCTTTAATCTGTACAATTTGTGAGTGTTCGTAACCTGTTCACAATTTTGTTTTTTGTTTTTTTGAACACAACTTTCTTTTAATATAATGGAGAAGGCTCACATAATTTCAGATTTTCTCCCTTCCAAAGAGCTTTGTTTCCCCTTGTCCAAACTCTACCCTGAAATAATAATATTTAATTTCATAACTTTCAGTTATTAAGGTATTTCAAGACATAGTTTTAGGGAATAACTCCCTGAGATAAACTGATTCTGTTTGCTTAGCATTTCTGCAAATATACTTTAGCATCACAAGTCAGGACCAGTACAATGAAGATAAGTGTGATCCTCTGATGAGGAATCCAGACATTTATAGACTTCCTGTGGGATCTCACAGGTCAGCATTGTTACAGAGCTACAAGCAGGTATTTAATTCCCTGAGATACCTCTTAACTACTCAGCTTTCACTGATTGTGAAACACTGCATGTACTCTTTTACTTAAGACACACATAAGCTGGGTAATAATGTTTTTGTCAGTATCATTTCCTGTTAGAAAAGGCAATTTAAAAAGTTTTCTAAAAATTATTTTTTGTCTGCTTAAGACAGATTATAGTATTTTGAAATGTTATCTGTCACTTTTCTTTAAGAAAAAATGCATCTGAGGTTTCCTAACAATCTGTGATCTTGAAAATGTTATATTTTGGTTTCTATCCTTCCAGATCAGCCAGGGTACCTAGAAAAAAAGTCACCAAATTCTGTGTTTCTTTTCATATAATGTACATAGATTATATGAGGGGAATACAATCCTTCAGGATGGACCCCAAGATATGGAGGCCAGTAGCTATAGAGATCCAAAGTTTTGAGGTAGAATTCAAACATATATTTTCATTGAACTTAACTGAAAACGAAACTAAAGGAAAAAAGAGAATTTTACAAAATTTAACAGAATTTTGTGGCAGTTTCCATTTGGAAATGCCAGAACATGCATTTTTTGCATTTTCCCTATCTTAATTTCCATTCAAGTTCAATTAATTTTGCATGTTTTATTTCACATATATAGACAAGGGTATATATATATATAAAGATAACACATGTTATGATTTTACTCAAAACATTAATTAATCAATTTTTCAAATTAAAAATTGTTTTCCTTTTTAACTCTTCTGTGTATGAATCTATTTCAAAAAGTAGTTAATCTACTAAACTTCCCTTGCTATCCTTTAAAATATAAATAAATTGTCAACGTAAATTAATTTCTTACATTCAATGAAGCAGAGGTACTCTATAATCAAATGTCCACTTGTGAAAAGAAGGGACAAATAACAGATTCACAGTTCATCCAAATTCTGACAATTCTGACCTTTGGATTAAGAGATATTCACTGCTACTGCAGCTGAATTCTGCTCTCTGCACCTTATTCACCATGAATATTAACAAGATAGGGTGAATTGATAATTATTTTGCTTTGTTAAAGTTGCCTCTGTTAAAGTTAAATGTTGCCAAGTTCTTCCAGACTTCACTGATGCCTGACAAAACTTGCAAGTTCCTGGAGATTTCCCAAGCCGGCTTTGAAGTTGCAGAATAACAGTGAAAGAGTAATGAAAAAATATCTGGGCATTATAATAATTGTAGCCTATCTGTTTACACTGCTTATCTCTTCCTTGTACTCTTATTACAATTTCATGTAATTACATTTTGACAAAAAAGCAAATCTAAAAGTCTTCATATGTGGATGTTATTTTTAATTCAACTGCAAATATACACACTCATATAAGAGGTTATTCCTGACTGCTGAAATCTATTAATCTACCACACAAAATATTTTCTCATACACTATTTCAGGGTTTATTGTTTCAGTCTTTTGAGATGAATGAGAGGCTGAGGCTTTTTGGCAGACAATCACTGGGACAGGTGAGAAACCCAACCAGTAAAACTACTTGCACAACTGAAAAATTATGAGACATTTAGGTTACTTCTGAAACCTCATAAAAATAAGTGTTTATTCAGGAATTATTCAAAACTTTGCCTCAGTTGGGATACTTTCTACATTTCCTACAGCCTGGCTTTTTCCATCTTATCTTTGCTCTCATCCTTGATTTTACTGCTCAGGCTTCTTATTCCACTCCCAAACACCTCCCTAACTTAGGAGACTCTTTGGACTGTTTATTTGATCTTGGTTTCCATGTACCTAATAATTGCCAGGAGCTGCCATTGGCCACCCAGCAGTTAATTCCAGTCTTTGGTTCCAATCTTTAAATTTTGTATATACTGATTCAGCTGATATTATTTGGTCTTTATCTGTTGCCAAAATACTATATTGCATAACAGCCTATGTACATCAATCTACCCACCCTGCTTTTCACAGGTCTTCCTCTTCCTTCTACTGTATTTAAATTTAAATGTATTTAAATGAGGTATCTCTGATTCTTGGGCTGAGAAGATCAAATGCTGAAAGAATAGAAAAAAAAGTTTTCTTGTTTGCATGCAGTGCATACTCAGCTCTGCTACCTGTATGCTCAGCTTGGCCTAAGGCTTTAATAAGAGAATATAAATTAAAACTTTGATTATCATAAGCACAGTAAAATTCTTATTTCTGACATAAAGGATGCATCTGCTATGCGGTTGTCAAGTCTTAAGCCTTTGTGAACATTAGTTTTTTTTTGGGGGGGGAAAAAACAGAAAAAAGAAGAGGTCATTATTTTCATTCAGCATAGGCAAAAGAAAGAATATCCTTTCTCTTCAGAGGTGGAAGATCAAATTTTGATTGTGCTTTTTGCTTTCAAGTTTTGCCAGAATAATGAGTTCCTGCACATGATATCTTTGAATAGTTGTCTTCATTATTACAACTGTAGCTGTCTGATTCTGTGTCCTTAGTTTCATATCTTCACTTGGCTGTTAAATGCTCAAGTAGGTTTTTATTCTGTTTTGTTTTCCCTAAGATGGCTTCGAAATGGAACTGAAATCGACATTGAAAGTGATTATCGCTTCAGTTTAATAGAAGGAAGTTTGATCATCAGCAACCCCAGTGAAATGAAAGATTCTGGACAGTATCAATGTTTAACTACCAACATATTTGGCAGTATTTTAAGCAGAGAGGCTGTTCTTCAGTTTGCATGTGAGTAACATTTTTTAATATATTGATAAAACTGACTTTATAAGACACTAAATTGTAATTTGAATACATTGTATAAGTGATACAGACATCGTTGGGCAAGAATCTCAGAATTAGAAATAAAATAGTATTTTAAGAGAGTGATTTTCTGTAGACTTGTTACTTTTAAAATAGAATCATCTAGAAAATATCTCTAGTACATGATCCCAAATGCTGTACTTTAATGGCATATTTGAATACTCTGCAATGATGTATTTCACTCATTGCTAGTTTTCTGAAACATCTATCATTTTGCCACACTCTGAGCAGGAAAGAAAGAACTGTAAACTTAGGAATAGAATGAGATAAAGTGCCTATATATCTGTTGGATATTCTGCACCTCTAACTATATTTTTTTTAATGTATATATGTATATAAATATATACGTTTTATGTCCTTGTTTTTGCATATGGATCCAGTGTACTTTCATACATTATAGAGCTGAAGGTGTTTTTATAGTTGTTAATGGAAACTAAAAATGTCTTAACTTTTGAAATCATTCACTACAATATACTTTCAGAAGTTATCAATAGTTCATGTTCCCAAGTAAATGCTATGATCTATCAATAGCATGCTCTCTTTCAAACATACTAGCAGAAAAAAAGGGCCAGGATTTCTCTTCAACCCTAATTTCCCTTCAGCACTTTAGAGGAAGGAATCCAACATAATTTTATTACTTTATCTAGATAAACACTCCTACCAGGAGTGTTTTTTAAGAGGAGTAGTGCAAAAAGAACTCCATCCTAGTTTCTCAGATCCCACTGGAAATAAGACATTACTGTGAAACATGAAGATCTTCATTATAGCTGCAACTGGAACAGTGGTTTTAAGGAGAAGTTGCCATCTGCATGTCTACTAATACATCTGGTGCTGTCAAGACCTCAGCAGATTTGGTGTGAGGTCTGATCCTCCCTTAATCCACCCCTCCCTGGTCAAGTCAGACCTCTTAAATCTATTGCTTAGCTGCTGTGTATTCCATTAAGGTGCTTGTAAGGAGATCATGGCACTTTCCACTTATTTCTGAGCTGGGAAGAGTAATGACATTTGTCAAAGTTTTCTCCTGCCAGGGCAGCATGTTTAAAACTCTAAATACCACAAGAGTATCATGGTATTACTAGACTTCAGTCTTAAATGTAGCTTCTGATAAAATTCCACTTCATTTTATCTTTTAGACAAGAAAATTATCCTACAACAAATCTCTTGATTAGAGAACCCAACCACTGGTAAAAATATATGGTTCTGTGGGTCTGAACCTTAGATTTCTCTTCCCATCTCAAGAGTAAGGCTATGTGGTGGCTATTTAACCTCCAATTGAAAAATAAAAAAAAAGAAAAATAGAGGGAAAATGAGAGCTGGAGCTCAAACAACAGAAGAACTATGAATTTCAAGAGCTACATCTACAGTTCATTCAGGCCCCCATGTACTTATAATACTGCCTCCTCAAACAAAACAAATTTAGATAAAGAAAAAAAAAGAAAGAAGAGATTTGGTTTAATGGGTTTATTTTCATTGGATTTTTAAGTTTGTACTATATTACACACCTACTTTTAAATGTATCAAAATTATTACATTGAAATGTCTGTAATGTGATTTCTGTTCATTAAAGTATTTAGCAATTTTGATGAAAGTTTCTTAGGAAAATTTAATCATGGAATACTATTTGGAAGGGCTGAGATGTAGTAAATAACGCTGCAGGACTTGCAATAGAGAAAAAACTGTTATAAGGACATAAAAATATTTTTAAAAGGATAGAGTAATATCTGATTAAAGTTCTTTTAGAAGCTTGTGAGAAACTTGTTCACAAGAGCAATTTCAAGTTCAATGTGTATTTGTAGCTCAATTTCTATGTAGTATGATACTCTTTCTTCCACTCTTGTTTTAATGCTTCTTCAATTCCCTGATCTTAAATGGTTGATGTTCATGTTGAAATAATATTTGCATTATGCAGCATCTCAGATTTTAATATTGTTTAAATTAATTAAAGTTTAATGATATCACCACACTAACTAATCACACATACTAACATATCAGAAGCTTGTATCACTGAAATGTTGTTGTAAATCAGATCCAAGGGCCACCCGTTCCAGTGCCTCATCACCTTTATAGTGTAGTATTTCTTGTTAACAGCTGGCCTACGTGTGTCCATTAGACAGTTAGACAGAAAGTAACGCATTGGAATAGATTTTTTTTAAGGAAATGTCCTAACCTTAAAGTAATTAAAGTAATTGGTGCTCTGCAGTTTTACTGGACTCTAATGGCTTGAAGGATAATCTATAATCCCAAGGATAAACCAAGCCATTTCTGACTATGAGATACAGAGCTATGCAGAATGTCATTCATTTTCTCTTTTATCACTGAAAACTATGGATTCCAAAAGTTTAGAAACTTACCACTTTCACAAGAAAAAAACACAAACTTCGTTTCATGGAATTGTTTGAATGCATGGGTTGTACCTCTGTGGAAAATAGTTACATCTTTGCAACTTGTAGCTGTTCTTCTAATTGAAAAGAGAAATGGCATGCAGCTCAAAATGGAACAGGAACCATTAAGCAAGGCCTATCTTACAGACAAAGTGGGTACTCTAAGGTGCCTATGCAAAATTATCATGACACCCAAAATAGGAGAGCATGTTCATCACACTGGCTCTTAGTTCTCTCCCAGTTCTGGGGCCAAAAGTCCTGTTGCTATGGTTATTATAACGTAATTCACCATTGGTGATGCATTGCAAGTATAAATGTTTATGTACTGTATCATTTGCATGTGTGTGCACAGTTAAAGCAGGAAATCCTTTTAGATACTTATGTCTTTGGATTTGAAAGAGAAAGAGATAAGGCAAACACTGTATGTGTTTAGAGATATAATACTTTAAATACACCACTTTATTACTGGTCATTTTTATGAAGCAAAGTTGGAAGACGAGTTATGTGCAGTGAAAGGTCTGTTCAAAATTTTAAACTACCTCAGCAAATACTTAAAAAGATTTAAATTCAATAAAAGTTCTTTTTTTTTTTTTTTGCATTTCCTATGATGTCTCATGCTCAAGGTCATGCTGGTTTATGTTATTTTAAGAAAGCAAGCAAAAAAAACCAAAAAAGAAAACTATCTCATGCTGTAAATGAAATTAGAAATATATTTCTTCAATAAAAACAGAGTATGATGAAAAATTGAAAAAAGTATGTATATTTCAGCTTGATTAAGTCTACCTGCCTTAGTGCAAAACAACTGCATGTTCCACAGCTTCTCATTGGAACAGTGTCCTAATAACTTTGGCTACAACAGCAGATGCTTTTTGTGCTTACCTTTGCCAATCGTACAATCTCTGTATTCCATTAGGTCACAAAACAAAATTGCTTTCCTTTATCTGTGGATTATTTAACCTTTCACAAGCCTGCCATCTCAGTGAATCTCAGTGATATTTACAGCCTGGGCTAAAAACCTAAATAAGTGGTAGGGGAAAACAATTTCTCACCTGTCATTTATGGAATTCCTCACTGCAATTTTATTAATCTAATTGTCACTGTATTCTTTGCATCATTTCCTTTTTTCTTGTACTAAATCTTTTTTTCCTTTAATCTACAAAGAAGGGTATTGATAAGAGACAATTTAAATGTCCTTTTCCAATGGATGATCTGTGATGACTGACCAGTGATGTACAGAATAAGAAGTCATCCATGATGCAGACATAAACTGATAGTTTCCTAGGAGCCTGCACAGTGCCCATTCTATCACAGCGCACTTTTGTCAGCCTTTTAATTGACTTCACCTACTAAGAAATTAGTTTTATCATCTGTGTTTCTTTCTTGCCATCATGCTACCTGGACACCTTGTTGGGTATATTTCATAATTTCCTAGCATTAATTTGTGAAGAGTTGATTTATTTAGACCCTCTAGACTTGAGAAAAGGTTTGTTTTTTATGTTCATTCAGAATTCACCATTTCAGAAGATTCAGAATTACAAAATGGCATTACAATAGCAACATTTTGTTTTAATCATATAAATCTAAACACTTTTAGGTACTATAAATGAAAGGTGATAACTGAAGTGAGAAAATAAATCAAAATATAAGTAGTTATACTTTCATTTTCAAAAGTATCCCTGATCATTTTGTAATAAACTTTTAAGTTTGTGACTCCTTTCCTCTGAAAGCATCACAGCTGTGTGAAGAGCGTTGCTATGTGAGTTAAAAATAGCTAAATCTCCAACAGTGACCCGCATAACAAAATTTTTGGATTGTTTTTTTCATTATCTCAATATGCCCTCTTTAGAAAATATATGCTTAAAAGATACCTGAAAACCATGTGTAAATGCCAGAAAAAGTAAATTTTGTGTAGAACTGTTTGCATTTTATTCATAAATAATTTATTAATTTAAGAGTGTCATTCAGTGAACCTGAAATGAATGTGAATTTCTCAAACTCTACAGTTTTAGCTGTTGTTTCCAGCCACAGTTTCCTACATAAATTTTCAAACCACTTGCACATATCTACTTTAAAATTCTACAAATCTATCCCTTTCTTTTGTTAAGAGGATCAGGGAAAAAAACAAAATAACTGGAATATATATATTTTTCATATAAAAATGTTAAAAAATTAAGTTTTCAGTTATATTAGAAGTCTGGAAAATTAAATTATTTGAATTTTAGCTGTGGTGATACTAACGTTATTTATAGAAACATTCAACTTATATTACTAAGTTTAGTTGTGCAAAATCCTGAGAGCTTTGGCTCTAGTTTTAAAAAACATTTCACCTTAAAGTATCTGCATAATCCTTTTGAATTTGATGGGTTGATGTACCTTCTTAAAATTCAGCACATGCTTAAACTCTTTGTTGTTGTTAAACATGAGGCTTCCTGAAGCAAGATTTAAAACAATCTGTATGGATTTGTTGCCAGTGTCATCATGACAGATATATAATAGGTTTAATTAAGCCTTCTGTCATTCATTTCTTGATTCTTTCTCCTAAAA